AAAGGAACCGGGGCCGGGTTAAAATGAATTGGTTTTGATCCTAATACGCTTTGTTCGTGTTGAAGCGAAAGCTCGATTTATTGAATTATTATCACTTATTATTATTATTATTATTATTTCGAGACGCTTTCACCGAAATAATTCTATCGATAAGATAGCAGATGGTCAAATAAAATTTTATAACAATAAAAAAATATGAAAATACAATAAAAATGTTTCAACATGTTTTGAACAATATTACATTTTCTTTATATTACCTGTTTATGGCCCCCGGATGAAAGAGAAAAATAGTGAATTGGGGAATTCCGTATTTAAAGGTAAAAACGGTCCTTTAACTGTGGGGCTTTAGGTAAATCCGGGGTTAAAAACGCGAAAAAAGCACGAATTGCTGTTTTAGGAGAAGTAATTGGAAGGATTCGTTTGGTTTGGACATTTGTATTCGTTTTTTTGGGTTCAGTTTCTTGTGCGGACTCCAACGAATGTGGTCTTATTCAAACAACTTTTTTTTTATTAAAGTTTGTTTTAATAGTGTGGATTTAAAACGAATTTATCGTTATGTAAAGATGACTGGTAAGGATTTTATTTATATTTTTAACGATGTGGAAGGAATCGATTTTTTTTTAATAACCATCATGATTTTTTTTTATAACTTAAACACAATTAAAAGAAATATATATTAAGGTTAATCGTTTAGTGTCAAATTTTGTCACGTTAGGTTTGTCAACTTTATATAGTGAATTTCATTTCAGTCTGAAGATGCACGATTAAACCCGAAACTTTCTAGTTCTAGGTGTAGTGTTAGTTCTAGTGTTAGTGGCAAGTGTAAAACTAGAACTAACACTATACCTAGAACTAAAATCATTTGGGTTTAGCCGTCTTTAGAGACGTGCGGCTAAATCCAAATGATTCTAGTTCTAGGTGTAGTGTTAGTTTTACATAGTAACAGTGTTAGTGTAAAACTAGAACTAACACTAGACCTAGAACTAGAAACATTCGGGCTTAGCCGCACGTCTCTAAAGACGGCTAAATCCCAATGTTTCTAGTTCTAGGTCTAATGTTAGTTCTAGTGATAGTGCAAGTGTAAAACTAGAACTAACATTATACCTAGAACTAGAATCATTCGGGTTTAGCGGTCTTTAGAGACGTGCGGCTAAACCCAAATGATTCTAGTTCTAGGGATAGTGTTAGTTGTACATAGTAACAGTGTTAGTGTAAAACTAGAACTAACACTAGACCTAGAACTAGAATCATTCGGGTTTAGCCGTCTTTAGAGACGTGCGGCTAAACCCAAATGATTCTAGTTCTAGGTATAGTGTTAATTCTACATAGTAACAGTGCTAGTGTAAAACTAGGAACCTAAAACTAGAAATATTCTGGTTTAGCCGTAAGTCTCTTAAACTTCTGTCTTTACATTTCCTAAATCTTTAGCATTAAATTCTTAATTTTAATTTATTTACCATTTCTTCTATATGTATATTTTCTCCAACTATCAATAAATCATCAACATAAACTAAGAGCCGTATTTTCTTATCAAAATATAAACAACAATCATAAAGTGATCGTTTCAACTTGCTCGATTCAGTTTTAAATACTTTGACGTTGATTCATAACCTTCTAGTTTGTATAATATACAATAATAATATACAAACTAGAAGGTTATATATTATATAACCTCACTTTCGAGTATGTATTCTGTTCAGGAAAGCTCCAATTGTCTGATATTCCATCCTTTTCTTATTGCATGAGCTAACATTACTCTTATTGTACTTGTTCTTGCCACAGGGGCATATATAGATTTATAAATATCTTCTTATTTTTGTTGAAATCCTCTGGCCACTCATCTTGCTTTATTTATGCCATCTTCTTTTATCTTGAATATCCATTTTGTTTCTATAGCTTCTTTTCCTTCAGGTAAATTGGGTTTTTCCCATGTTTTTAGTTTTTCTAGTAAATTTAATTTCTCTTCTATTACTTCTTTCCATTTTTGTTCTTTTACAGCCTCTTGAAATATTTCAGGATCTTCAGTGTTTATATTTAAACAACAAATGCTATATAAATCGTAACCTGAAAAATGTTTAGGTAATTTAACTCTGTCGTCTGTCGTAGTTTCCAGTAATTCCATAATTTTTTAACTAAACTGTATAAATTATAGAATTACTTAATAAATTGATTATTTAAAATCAATAAAATTAACTCACCACCTCTATATTGTCATAAATCACCCCGATTTTTTATAAATCCAACAAAAATTTAAGTTATGTTTTCGATCAAACTTCACGGATTAATTTGAAAAGAAAATGTTCTTCGTAAAACTTAAAATCACTTTAAATAAATACCTTGCGTGTGCAAAAACGTACTTTGAAGGGATTTTTTAAATAAATCAACCTTTTTTTGGTAAAATTCAACAATTTTAGAATGACAGAAATGTCAAAAATATTTCATATTAATAATTACCGCTAGATGGGGGTTAACTAATTTACTTAATTTTAAAATTAAATTTTTTTAACTAAACTTTATAAATTATAGAATTCTTAATAAATTGATGATTTAAAATCAATAAAATGAACTCACCACCTCTTTATTGTCATAAATCACCCCAATTTTTTAAAAATCCAACAAATTTAAATTGACACGATAAAAAAATTTAGGTTATGTTTTCAATCAAACTTCACGGATTAATTTGGAAAGAAAAATTTCTTCGTAAAACTTAAAATCAATTTCTATAAATAAATAGAGTGTACAAAAACGTATTTTGAAGGAATTCTTTAAATAAATCAAACTTTTTTTGGTAAAATTCAACAATTTTAGAATGACAGAAATGTCAAAAATATTTAATATTAATAATCATCGCTAGATGGGGGTGAACTAATTTACTTAATTTTAAAATTAAAATTTTTCAACTAAACCGTATAAATTATAGAATTCTTAATAAATTGACAAATTAAAATCAATAAAATTAACTCACCACCTCTTTAATATCATAAATAACAACAATTTTTTAAAAGTCCAACAAATTTAAATTGACAGGATACAAAATTTAGGTTATGTTTTCGATCAAACTTCACGGATTAATTTGGAAAGAAAAATTTCTTCCTAAAACTTAAAATCACTTTAAATAAATATCTTGAGTGTACAAAAACGTACTTTGGAGGGATTTTTTAAATAAATCAAATTTTTTTTGTGAAATTTAACAATTTTAGAATGACAGAAATGTCAAAAATATTTAATATTAATAATCATCGCTAGATGGGGGTAAACTAATTTAATTTATTTTAAAATTAAAATTTTTAAGTAAACTGTATAAATTATAGAATTCTTAATAAATTGACGATTTAAAATCAATAAAATTAACTCACCACCTCTTTATTGTCATAAATCACCCAATTTTTTTTAAAATCCAACAAATTTAAATTGACAGGATACAAAAATTAGGTTATATTTTCGATCAAACTTCACGAATTAATTTGAAAACTTAAAATCACTTTAAATAAATACCTGGAGTGCATAAAAACGTACATTGGAGGGATTTTTTAAATAAATCAACCTTTTTTTTGTAAAATTCAATAATGTCAAAAATATTTAATATTAATAATTTCCGTTAGATGGGGGTGAACTAAATTTTAACCTAACTTTTAATTAAAATTTAATGCAAAAGTTAATTTAAAACTTAGTAGAGNCAACAATTTTAGAATGACAGAAATGTCAAAAATATTTCATATTAATAATTACCGCTAGATGGGGGTGAACTAATTTACTTAATTTTAAAATTAAATTTTTTTAATTAAAGCGTATAATTTATAGAATTCTTAATAAAATGACGATTTAAAATCAATAAAATTAACTCACCACCTCCTTATTATCATAAATCACCCCACTTTTTTAAAAATCCAACAAATTTAAATTGACAGGATAAAAAAATTAGGTTATGTTTTCGATCAAACTTCATGAATTAATTTGAAACGAAAATTTTCTTCCTAAAACTTAAAATCACTTTAAATAAATACCTTGAGTGTGCAAAAACTTACTTTGGAGGGATTTTTTAAATAAATCAACCTTTTTTTTTGTAAAATTCAAGTTTTAGAATTACAGAAATGTCAAAAATATTTAATATTAATAATCATCGCTAGATGGGGGTGAACTAATTTATTTAACTTTGAAATTAAAATTTTTTAACTAAACTGTATAAATTATAGAATTCTTAATAAATTGACGATTTAAAATCAATAAAATTAACTCACCACCTCTTTATTGTCATAAATCACTCCATTTATTTAAAAATCCAACAAATTTAAATTGACAGGATAAAAAAATTAGGTTATATTTTCGATCAAACTTCACGAATTAATTTGGAAAGAAAAATTTCTTCCTAAAACTTAAAATCACTTCAAATAAATACCTTGAGTGCATAAAAACGTACTTTGGAGGGATTTTTTAAATAAATCAAACTTTTTTTTGGTAAAACTCAATAATTTTAGAGTGACAGAAATGTCAAAAATATGTCATATTAATAATTACCGCTAGATGGGGGTGAACTAATTTACTTTATTTTAAAATAAAAATTCTTTTAACTAAACTATAAATTTTATTATAGAATTCTTAATAAATTGACGATTTAAAATCAATAAAATTAACTCACCACCTCTTTATTGTCATAAATCTCCCCATTTAAAAAAAAAATCAAGAAATTTAAATTGACAGGATAAAAAAAATTAGGTTATGTTTTCTCTCAAACTTCACGGATTAATTTGGAAAGAAAAATTTCTTTGTAAAACTTAAAATCACTTTAAATAAATACCTTGAGTGCACAAAAACTTACTTTGGAGGGATCTTTTAAATAAATCAACCTTTTTTTTGTAAAATTCAATAATTTTAGAATGACAGAAATGTCAAAAATATTTAATATTAATAATTTCCGTTAGATGGGGGTGAACTAACTTCAATTAATTTTAACCTAACTTTTAATTAAAATTTAATGCAAAACTTAATTTAAAAGTTAGTTAGTAGAGAAAGGAGTCAAAAAGGTGCCATTCTTAACTCACGTTTTAACACAATTTGTTAGCCCCAAACAATAACAATAAAAATAGGTGTGCCCTTATTTGAGAATAAGAAAAGTTACCTTTTATACAAGCTAAACTCATTGAGTAAAAGGAAACGCACCGCAGGGTACCATAAGAACCCCATTGGACAGGGCGAACAAAGCCAAGGGCGTGGCGCGTTATAACGCCCCTTTTTTAAAAACGCACCCGACAACATCAAATACACAGGTACAAACGTATCGAAAAACATTTCAAGATAACACTTTCCTTATGAAAATTGTCTCTGAAAATACCCTGTCCAAGATAACTTAATTTAAAAAAAATGCATGGAAATCTTCCCCAGCTTTGTAAGTTCTTTTATTTTTAATTAATCTTCAAAAGTGTTTTGTAATTTCTTCAATTTTGTTTTAAATTTTTTATAGTCGTTTCCGCCGGGGAAGCAGCGATGAAAGAAAAAAGTAAGAACGCGGCTCGTTCGCGGCGCGAAAAGGAAAACGCCGAGTTCTTGGAATTAGCAAAATTACTACCGTTACCAGCCGCTATTACTTCTCAATTGGATAAAGCTTCTGTTATTCGATTAACAACTTCTTATTTAAAGATGAGACAAGTTTTTCCAGACGGTGAGTTTTTTTACCTATTAACAAAAAAAAAGACCCTAATTTTATCGTTTTGATCTTTTTGTACGTGACCCAAACAAAGAAGTCTCGACAAAAAAGTTTTATCATCACCCCTATTTGAATTTAATAATAATTGGTACTTAATAGTTTTTATAAAAAAATCTTGACAAAAAAAGGACACGAAGCTTTTCACATTCAAATCGTGTCTCCGGTTTACCTTTTAACAGCCTGCAAAAGAGTTTTTTTGATTTATTAAAGGACTTGGGGATGCTTGGGGAGCACAACCGGTCCCCCCGAACCCTCGCGACGCCCTCATCAAAGAATTGGGATCCTATCTACTTCAAACACTCGACGGATTCATTTTTGTCGTCGCCCCAGATGGAAAAATTATGTATATTTCAGAAACAGCTTCGGTACATCTTGGGTTATCACAGGTAAATTTGCAATTTTTATTCTAAAATTTTTATTTATTAGATTTTGTATTAGGTTGAACTAACCGGAAATAGTATTTACGAATACATTCATCAAGCTGATCATGATGAAATGACGGCCGTTTTAACACCGACTCCTCCTCAACCGGGTTCGGCTCCTCGAGATTACGAAAGCGAAAGAGCTTTCTTTCTGCGTATGAAATGCGTTTTAGCAAAACGAAACGCAGGTCTCACCAACGGTGGTTATAAGGTAAGTTGTAAACGTGATTTATTTCTTTTTTTTGGAGGCGTCAAGCGGTCTGGAGATCTTTCCTCGTGTTTTGAAAGAAAAGGGACACCTTCGCAGTAATAAAAAATCGAGATACCTATGATACGTCACGTTCTCGAAGGGCCCCATTGTACCGTCACGTGTAACGCCGCGTTGAACCCAACCGGGCTTTTGACTTTATAACCGCGAAAAACTCGCTTCAAGTCACGTCCGGACTTGTACACCTGAAACGGAAGAACTATGTCAAAACAAAAACACCCCTCTCGTCCCTTACTTACCGAAAAGCACAAAGAAAAGAATCTTAATTTCCGGAATAACGTTATAGGTTATGTTTTTTTTTAATTGTCAAAATATTATTGTTGGGTTAATAAAATTGATATGATTACGCCATCTATTGGTGGAATTAATTAAAAATTAGAAATTAATTTATTTAAACAAATTAAATGATTTTAAATTAAGATATTTAATTGAAACAAACAAAAAATTATCAATTTTCTTTTAATAAATTAAAAAGTGATATTCATAGACATGTATGTGTACTTAAAGGTACAACGACATCGCGTGAGTTTATTGGGGCCCAATTTAATTTTTTAATTAAAGTGGTGGTAACGTACGCTTTCGAGTTGGTTCTTATATGGAAATTAATTGGAAAAGTGGCTCATATATCCCGCCTAGTTTGCAAATAAACCATAACAAGATGTGTAAATTTTAAAGCATCAATGATTCAAGTTATACATATTCAAAGTTAAAAGAAATAATTTACATTTTCAAAATGAGAATTTATGAATTTATTAACTTATTATTTAATTATATGGTATGTATAAGTAAAATAACATGTGTTTATTAAGTTAAAAGAAATAATTTATTAATTACTTGTGACTATATTAACAGGTGTTTTTTTGAGGTTAACTTAAGTGTCAAATGTCAATGTCAAAATTGATATAATTACGAAAAATGGTTTTTAAGTTAATTTTTTTGTGTAGTTGATGATGTTTATTTCTTGTATAGTTTAATCTCATCGCCGGTAGTTATTTATTTTATAGCCTAATAAAAATATCGGTGCCGTAAAACAGTAATTATGTCCCCGGATGAAAGAGGTTTGGTTGTTTTATTAAAGATTATCCTTTTTTTAAATTTTATTTACTTTTATTTACTTTTATTATATTAAATTTCGACTTTTATTTCTCTCAACTTGTCTTCTTTTCTCGCAATTTAAAGGTAATTCACTGTAGCGGCTACCTCAAGGTCAAACAATTCACCGCTTCCCAATCGCCTTACGAAGGATGTTACCAGAATATGGGTTTGGTTGCTGTGGGCCACTCGTTACCTCCGAGCGCCATCACCGAAATCAAACTCCACCAGAACATGTTCATGTTTCGAGCGAGTCTCGACTTAAAACTCATTTTTTTGGACGCAAGGTGAATATTTTCACACACATTCAAACACAAAAAATAATATGATATGATGATGGTATCATCACATTTCATGGGGGGTCGTTTCTTGTTTATTTAGTACTTTTTGTTAATTTGTTTTTGTTGGGTTAATTTTCAGAGTGGCCCAGCTGACAGGATATGAACCCCAAGATCTCATCGAGAAAACTCTTTACCATTACATCCACGTCTTCGATATGCAATTAATGAAATCATCTCATTTGCAATGTAAGGTTAAAGTTTAAACATGTTATATTTTAATAAACTCGCGTATTATTGATATTTTCGTTATCGTAGTTTGCACAGACTTTTAAAAGGAGAGAGACCGTAGGGTTCTTTGTGTTTGCTGAGCTTCAGCTTTCAATATAGAGTTAGATCCAATGAGAGTGCGAGTTTAATGCTTTGGGGGGGCGAGCGTTAAAAGTTAATTTCGCCGTCCGCTTCAATCTTTACGACCCGTAGAGTGTAATTTAATCGTTCCTCCCGTAATTGTTTTGCAGTGTTGTTCAAGGGCCAGGTTACATCGAAGTACTATAGGTTTATGTGCAAGGGGGGCGGCTGGGTTTGGATGCAAAGCTATGCCACAATCGTTCACAATTCAAGATCATCACGACCCCATTGTATAGTTTCTGTTAATTATGTTTTAAGGTAATTAAAAGAAAATTTTTAAATTAATACATTTTTTAATTAATTAATTTTTATTTTTAGCGATGTGGAAGCGAAAGATTTAGTTTTAAATCAATCTCAAGGAAACGTTAAAGAGGAGGCTTCTTCACCGAATATAATTGAACGAAATTCCTCACCTCAATCATCATCATCCCGTTCTAGTCATCACCAATTAAAATATCAATTACCAAGAACATCAGCTGCTTCAACAGCCGTTGTAACACCACCTTCATCGGTACAACAACCGGAAGAAGAATTTAATGACTCAAATGGTGTTTCTTATCCGACTCCCACACCATCTACCGAATATCCCATATATTTATCCAATTTTCATGATGACCCTTATTATCCGCATCAAGAAATTTTTTATCCTTACTCAGACGCGGAGTTAACTCAACACAGTTTAAATCCCATTAATAATCAGCACCAACAAAGACCTTATAGTGCTTCATCGAGTAGTTGTAGTAGTGTTGAAAGTGAGCAGCAAACGAATAACTTGCATTTTCAAACTTTGAATAACCCATATTGTTCTGGTGATCATTTGGGGCAGCAACAACAACAACAACAGCATTCTCCGTTTGGACCAAATTGTTTTAATAACAACCAAAATCATGCGTTGCAGCAACAAAGTATGTATGATGGACATGATTATAAACAAGGGCATCAACAAACCTCGGCTGGTTATACGAGCGTTATTGTTGAAGCTCAATATCAACTTACAAATGAATATGTACATTAAAATGAAAAAAAATCCACTTTGTAAAAAGATTTTTTAGTAGATGTAAGTTTTTTTTTGTATAGATTTTTTTTTGTAACCCGAGTGTAAGTGCCATATTAATGTATGAAAAAGAAAAAGAAAAAATAGTGAGAAAAATTTGATCACGTGACAATAACTTTCATGATTTTTTTTTGTTAGCTTTGAATTTAACGTTTATTTTTGTACATAGTTTGTGTAATTTATAAAGCCGTTTACTTCGCCAATAAAAATTTGATGTTATTTAATTATTTGAGTTGTTTCTTAACCTCCCAAATAAATCAATTGATATAGATTTGGAAAAATCTAAACTTAAAATTTGGAATAATTTAGAAATTACGTGTAATTTCGCTTGTTGAAATAAATCTTACATTTTCGTATAACCTAAAAGTGTCAAAAAAGATGCTAATTCAAAAATTCCTGGAAGCCGTATTTAATGAAATTAAGGAATGAGACTTATTTTAAATTAAAGCTCAAAGCTTTCTCTTTAAAATGATGTATAATAATTGATGGGTTGGATTGGAAAAATATAGAGAAAAAAAATTTTGAAATAAAACTTACATTTTTGTATAACCTAAAAGTGTCAAAAAAGATGCTAATTTAAAAATTCCTGGAAGTCGTATTTATTGAAATTAAGGAATGAGACGTATTCTCAATTAAAGTTCAAAGCTTTGTCTTTACAATGATGTATAATAATTGTTGGGTTGGATTGGAAAAATATTGAGAAAAAAAATGTTGAAACAAAGCTTACATTTTCGTATAACCTAAAAGTGTCAAAAAAGATGCTAATTTAAAAATTCCTGCAAGCCGTATTTATTGAAATTAAGGAAGGAAACTTATTTCAAATTAAAGCTCACAGCTTTCTCTTTAAAATGATGTATAATAATTGATGGGTTGGATTGGAAAAATATTAAGAAAAAAATGTTGAAATAAAACTTACATTTTCGTATAACCTAAAAATGTCAAAAAAGATGCTAATTTAAAAATTCCTGCAAGCCGTATTTATTGAAATTAAGGAATGAAACTTATTCCAAATTAAAGCTCAAAGTTTTCTCTTTAAAATGATGTATAATAATTGATGGGTTGGATAGAAAAATATTTAGAAAAAAAATGTTGAAATAAAACTTACATTTTCATATAACCTAAAAGTGTCAAAAAAGATGCTAATTTAAAAATTCCTGGAAGCCGTATTTATTAAAATTAAGGAAGGAAACTTATTTCAAATTAAAGCTCAAAGCTTCCTCTTTAAAATGATGTATAACAATTGTTGGGTTGGATTGGAAAAATATTAAGAAAAAAAATATTGAAATAAAGCTTATATTTTCATATAGATAGCTTTTAAATGCAATATTGATACTTTTAGATATTATTCTGCTTCTGGTACAAAACTATTTTGACAACCTCGACTGTTGACCCTCCAAAACAGTGATAATTTCTTTTTCACTGGTCTTGTAAATAAATGGTTTTAGATCAATATTTGATGAAGAGGGTTCACTTTTCATAAAATAGTCGTAGAGCTTTGTAGCTTAGGATCAACGTAAAATGAAATTTCTTTATGTAACTTTTTCTTTAAATTATTTTTTTATTTTCCCATAAGAACAAGTCATTCAACAAAAAAAAGAAAGAGATAATTGCTCGTAAAGGGCACGTGGCATAGCACGGTAGGTTTCTAATGGGGCTGCTTTACCGTACACGGGGTGCTATTGTCAGCACTTCCGTTGTATTCTGGGAGAAAAGCAACTCCGGTCGACTAAACTAAACCAATTAGAGTGCTCCCCAAACTCCGGGGGAACGTCTCGTTATTATCATTTTTATCCCAGCACAATGAAACCGTCCGTAAAGTCGATTGACTCCTGAACGTCAGTCTCTTTGTCTTTTTTATTTATTTTTTTAATTGGGACTACGTTTTATTTTTTTTTATATTGCGGGCGTCGTTTTCAGTTCAAATAAAAAGACGAACAAGAAAATTTAAATCTTATTAAAAAAAATTTTATTTTAAATTTTTAAGGGACTAATTTCACTTTATTTATGTATGTGTGAAATCAAATGTCAAAAAATTTTTTTCTCAATTTTTATTAAATATTATTATTACTTTTTTAAATGTGATTACGTTTTAATTTTTTTTATTGTGAGCATCATTTTTAGTTAAAATAAAAAGACGAACAAGAAAAATTATATATTATTTAAAAAAAAATTATTTTAAATTGACTAATTTCACTTTATTTATGTATGTGTCAAATTAAACGTCAAAATTTTTTTTAAATGTGTTTACTAGGGCACGGAACTTTTGTAACAAAACGATACGATTTCCCTCCTCCACTCGTTCTCAGCAGAAAATTTCATACAAAAATTGTTCTAAATTAAATTCTAAAACGATTTTCTCAATAAAAAATATATATATAAAATTTTTTTTGAGGTTATGTTCTTAATTATTGATCAAATCAAAAATTTTTATTAACAATATTTGTTTAGAATTACTTCAGGAACAGTATTTGTTAATACAATTTTTTTCTAACGTGAAATTTTAATTTCCCACTGAACAGTATGCTACAAAAATTAATATTTTTGAGGTTATATCCTTATTGTTGATTTAATCAAAAAATGTTGTTAACAAAATTTGTTTAGAATTACTTCAGGAACAGTGTTTGTTAACACAATTTTTTGCTAACTTGAAATTTTAATTTCCCTTCCTTTAAATTTTTAAGTGACTAATTTCACTTTATTTATGTGTCAAATGAAATGTCAAAAATTTTTTTCTCAATTTTTATTAAATATTATTATTTACATATTATAAATCGCCGGGTTATAATAAATACTGATTAGATAATTAGATAATAATCTTTAGCGGTTACATATTTCTTTAGATTATACTAGATGAAATCTTTTAATATCGAAAATTGCCATTATCAACACCAGCACCGTAGAAATTCTGATGAAGCTGTTGTTCACTAAAAATAATAACTCAAATAAATAAAAAAACGTTCAAAATTAATCTTTATTTACCTTTGTCTTGGATTCCTGTTCGAATTATTCCAATCGTTTACATTTCCGACGTTTCCATATCTATGATTGGGATTATTTTGCGATAATTGTTGTTGAAGTTGTTCTCTAAAATCCATCGGAGACTCACTTTGCCGATTTTGGCCGTTATTATTGTTAGTTAAAGGATTTTTGTAATTATTCCTGTCATCATTAGGCCTCGATGAATAATAATTTGAATCATTATGAACCGATGTTGATGGCGTACGAGGGTCATCTCTAATTACAGCTCGTCTATAACCAAAAAATTAAATTAAATAAATAAATAAACAATCAATAAAGATTAATATATCAAATTTCGAGTTATTAAGCAATTTTATCTCGATATAATCCCGTGATGGTTATTTCGTGTTTTTTCTTATCTTTATTTTATCACTTTTTAGTTATTAATTTTACCGTATCTTAAAATTGGGTTCTTCATTTCGCTCCTTTTTAATGTTTTGTTCCAAAATGTAAAGCCAATAATATAAAACAGCACATAAAACTCCAACTAAAAATAAAACTGTACTTAATACTCCAACTGCGATGTAAAAATTTTGTTTCAAATCAGTAAGTTCTGCTTCTAACTAAAAAGAAATACTTGGATTATATGAATCATGTTAATTCACTTTATTAATAAATACTTGAGAATTTGTACTCATTTTTTTTTATTCTAACACCTTTTAAACACCTTTATAACCTGTTGATCGAACAAAAACTTTTTAATGACTGATTTATTGGATTTTAAAGAAACGATAACGTTTCTGATAATGTTTTATTTTGATAAACGATTTTTTTTAGCGATAAAGATAAATTTTAAATAATTCTAATCGTTGATTCATAGTTTTTTGATAATTTTTAAAATAATAATTGTTAGATTCATTATAATAAAATTAGATGATCCTAACTATATCCAATTTTTAGTTCTCAAAATAAAATAATCCTTTGAAATGAGTTCTTAAAAGTGCTTATCTTTATGACAGCTCAACCTAACCTAACTTAATCATATGCTCTATTCGTTTTATTACTTTTATCTTATCTAAAATTTTATTTTAAAATTTAGTTGAAATGATTAAATTTTTGCATTTTTATAAATGTTTCGGAGGAAATAATATTTTTTTTAATTACTATAAACTAATCGAAAAAATGTAGAAAATTGATTAAATTTAGCTAATATCGGACTGGATGTTGATGTGACTAATTTCATTTTTAACATAAAAACGTTCTAAAAATATATTTGGTTTTACTAAAAATTGGAAGGCAGAAAACGCTATAAACCGAAATTATATATATACAGGGTGTCACACAAAAAACGCCCCAAGCTGTAACTCTGTCATTTATATTCTGATTTTAATGAGCCAGGTATCAAATGAAATGGTTTCATAAATATTATGATTCAAGCTACAAATAAATTTTTTCCAACGCCATCTTCAATTTCAAGCGATTATGAACTTTTGTTTTTCAAATTGCACCGTATATTTTTCGTCACGTCATTAGATAGAGATTTTTTTTCTGAATCCAATGATGTACAGTACATCCATTTTGAATGTACTTTTAGCAGAGAAAAGACACCCTGTATATAGAGGTTATCACACAAGAATGCCTCAAGCTGTAATTCAGCCATTTACAATCCGATTTTCATGAGCCAGGTATCAAATGAAATGGTTTGATAAATACTATGATTCATGCTACAAATAAATTTTTTCCAAAGCCATCTTCAATTTCAAGCGATGTCAACTTTTGATTTTCAAATTGGTCGGTATGTTTTTTTTCACGTTATTGGATAGAGATTTTTTTTTAAATCCATTGATGTATAATACATCAATATTAATTGTAATTTTAGTAGAGAAAAAAATTAAAACACTTTCCGAACATTCTCATAAAATCACATGCGTTATTATGTAGTGTGCCATGGAAAAAAATAAAAAACAACTTATAACTGTCATTACAAATTATTAGTGCCATTTTTAATAAGTATAATTCGACGTTTTTTAAAGATATCATGAATTTCAGTGAACTTACTGACATGCTACAAGTTTATTTTGAATGTAGTAAAAACAGTAGTCAGGCATTGCGACTTTACATGGAACGTTTTCCGGAAAGAGATGTTCCAAACCGTCGTAAATTTAGCCGAATTGAAGAAAATTTAAGAAGATTTGGAAGTTTCAAGAAACCGAAGGTAGTGCAGAGAAAATTTTCTGAAAATGTGGAACTGGACGTTTTGTTAGCTGTTGAAGAAAACGCCAAAACTTCTGTTCGTGAAGTTGCGAACATTATTGATACGTCTCGAAGTACTGCATGTGCAGTGCTTAAAAAACACAAATTTAAGCCGTATATTGCTCACAAGGTGCAAGCAATAGATGGAAATGATCCGATCCGAAGGTCTCAATTTTGTAATTTTTACTTAACAAAATTGCAACAAGATCCGTTATTTTATTCTAAAATTATTTGGACAGATGAGTGTACTTTCACTAATAATGGAATTTTTAACCGCAACATTCACCGCTGTTGGAGCCAAGAAAATCCTAGATTGGTCATCGACAATAACCATCAACGTCGTTTTAGCTGCAATGTTTGGTGTGGCCTACTTGGAGACTGCTTGATTGGGCCGTTCTTTATCGACGGTTCCTTAAATCAGCAAAAATATCACCAACTATTAAGTGAAAATGTTGAAAATTGTTTGGATGAATTACCACTTGCGGGACTGCGTGAAATATATTTTCAACAGGACGGTGCTACTCCTCATAATGCACGCATAAACGTTAGTTGGTTGAATTGAAATTTTAATCAACAATGGATTGGCACTAATGGACCTATTCGTTGGCCTGCGCGATCACCTGACGCCTTTAGATTTTTGGCTTTGGGGATATCTCCAAGATCGAGTTTACTTAGCAGTGCCACAAAATGTAAATGATTTGAGAAACCGAATAATTGAAGTTTGTCGGGAAATACCTAACAATTTCATATTAAATGCCACGCATGGCGTTATAAAAAGATGCCAGTGTTGTATTGAGCATGACGGTAATCAATTCGAACAATATTTGTGATTTTTTTTTAGTTTTGATTTTTGTTTTTCTTTTTCTTTGTGAAATAAAATTATTACTTGTTCAATTTTAATAACGGGTTTCAGCCATTGAAATAGCATTTAATGTCTGTTACCAGTTTTATGCGTTATTATTTATTTTTTTCCATGGCACACTACATTATAACGCAAGTGACTTTATGAGAATGTTCGGAAAGCGTTTTAATTTTTTTTTCTGCTAAAATTACCATTAATATTGATGTGTTATACATCAAAGGATTAAAAAAAAACTATCCAATAACGTGAAAAAAAAAAACATTGACCAATTTGAAAATCAAAAGTTAACATCGCTTGAACTTGAAGATGGCTTTGGAAAAAATTTATTTGTAGCATGAATCATAGTATTCATCAATCCATTTCATTTGATACCTGGCTCGTAAAAATCGGATTGTAAATGACTGAATTACAGCTTGAGGCATTCTTGTGTGATAACCTCTATATACAGGGTGTCTTTTCTCTGCTCAAATTACATTCAAAATGGATGTATTGTACATCATTGGATTTAGAAAAAAAATCTCTATCTAATGACGTGACGAAAAATATACGGTGCAATTTGAAAAACAAAAGTTCATATTCGTTTGAAATTCAAGATGGCGTTGGAAAAAAATTATTTGTAGCATGAATTATAGTATTTATCAAACCATTTCATTTGATATCTGGCTCACTAAAATCGGAACGTAAATGACAGAGTTACAGCTTGGGGCGTTTTTTGTGTGACACCCTGTATATATGTATAGAAATATTTCATTAAATTATGCTCTTAACAAATAATTAATTATATTTAGAAAGAATCAATAAAATCGATCTGTCAATGCATTTCTTCTATCATTCAAATGAACCAATAATTAGTTCAAAAACACAAACGTCAAAACTTTCAGTTGTCAATGTCAACTTTAATTTTATTATTATATTCGGAATCTTTTATCTTATAAAATCAAAAAGGTCGAACTTTCAACTTTTAATTTTGACATATTTGTCAACATCATAAAAAATCCTTTAAAATGAGTCCAAACTCGATATATTTAACATTAATATTAATGGAGATAAAATCATTTCCGGTTTGAAACGTCAACGTCAATTTTGACATATTTGTCATCTTTAAATATTAATTAATTTTTTATTTTTGTTTTTTATATTTTTGTTTTTGTGACAAATATTAAGACTTATAAAAATTAAGAATATGTCAAAATGACGTTGACATTTCAAACCGGAAGTTGCTAATATTGGAATTAAACGTATCATGTTTGGACTGATTTTGAAGAATTTTTCACGACGATTACAAATATGTCAAAATTGACGTTGGCATTTTTAACCGGAAGTTGACCATAACTTCATTAATATTGGAGATAAATATGTCGTGTTTGTACTCATTTTAAAGGATTTTTAATGAAGATTACAAATATGTCAAAATTGAGGTTGATATTTTAATCATGAAGTTAGTTACCATATAATAGACAAATGGACAACTTCATGGTGTACTTTATTAAAAAAAACTTTTAAAATGAGTCCAAACAAGACGCACTTATCTCAAAAAGTAAAAAAGTTAGAATAATAACCATTAAACCCGAAGTTAGCAACAATGAAGATAGCAATTTAATTTTTAAATATTAATACCAACCTTAATTTTTGATTGTTTTTATTATATTTTTATTTTTGTGACAAATATTAAGACTTTTATAAAAAATTAAGAATATGTCAAAACGACGTTGACATTTCAAACCGGAAGTTGCTTATATCTCGAGTAATATTGGAATTAAACGTATCATGTTTGGACTCATTTTAAAGGATTTTTCACGACGATTACAAATATGTCAAAATTGACGTTGACATTCTTAACCGGAAGTTGACCATAACTTCATTAATATTGGAGATAAATATGTCGTGTTTGTACTCATTTTAAAGGATTTTTAATAAAGATTACAAATATGTTAAAATTGACGTTGACATTTTTAACCAGAAGTTGACCATAACTTCATTAATATTGGTGATAAATATGTCGTGTTTGTACTCATTTTAAAGGATTTTTAATAAAGATTACAAATATGTCAAAATTGAGGTTGACATTTTAAACCTGAAGTTAGTGTATCCCAAGATGGATGTTACAATAGGTATAATGACCTAAAAATTTTTGAATTTTATTTTAAGGATAGGGAATTAAGCTCTGCTTGGCGTGGAGAAAATTTTAAATATATTTTAAGTATTTATTTCATTAAGAAAAGTTATTAAATCTGAGTGAAATTGAATCAGTATTTTAGTGCTGGTTCAGATGGCATTTTTTACTTCGTTTTGAAGAAAATTTGGCAATCTATTACAAATAATGTTTGTGTGGGTGGAGTTTAACTTCGGTATCTCATCAAAGTTGTAACAAGTTTTTCAAGGTGTTGTTAAAGTGTATTAATTAAAGCAAGGCATGTCGCGTTTAACAAGTTAATACTTGGTCTATGTTTTGTAACTCTTGTCTTCTTCTTTACATTGAGTTTATGAGGTCGTTTTGTGACAATGCGTAGTAACTTCTTGGATCGTTCTGACTTATTGAACATCAATCTTTCCACTACTTTTCTATCTATTTCCATACATTCTATCTTTTTTGTAAGTTGCTTCTCTATTCCTATATTCTCCAGGTAGGATTTATTCTTTATTTCAGTCAAAAATTAACATCTTCCATTAAATCAGTCACTTCTTTCTTCATTTCTTATCTATACTCTTTTCGTTCAGTTTTAGTTCACATTTCAACGAGAGATTTCCTAATACCAATCTTACACGTATGACTGTTATGCGAATAACAGAAATTTCTTACTTCGGGAAGCGTTGTTAATGTTAAGAGGGAGAAAAGGAAATATAACGACCATAGAAAATTAGCTTTAGAGAATTTCGTCATTGTATAGAAAAGTGTGCAACAAAAGGTGGATGCTATGTTGAATAAACGACAGCTTTGTTTACGTAAGACTTTTTATAAATAAAATAAAATTATACAATATTTATGTTATTTAAACTAAAATGTGATGGTTCAACCAAAGTAGATAGATTCTTCTGAAATTTTGTTCATTCTGAACAACTTTTTTTATGAAAATATGGAAATACTCTTAAAATTCTCTTTACACCAAGCAGGGCTCAATCGTAATTCCTGAGCCTTAAAATAAAATTTAACAGAAACACCCTGTATAATTGTAAAACGTACAATTAAAGATTAAGTTTGATAGTTATTAATTTTAATACTAACATATTTTTTTAAATTCTCTGTTTTAGAGGGATTTATAGGATGGATTACGGGGGATGGTTTTGGATGTGTAGAGATTGTGGAGTTTCCGGTAGCCAGGCAACGGCACAACCCTTATTTAAATTCCGGCGCTTTGTCACCGGGTCTGATGTGTTTGCTCGGAGCTTTGCTGCCAATTACGGCGGAGGTTGGGGTTGAAAGGGGCCGAATGGCGCGCCTCTCGCCGCCACCGTCATTTCGAGTGGCACTCCAAATCTTTTCCCCTGGAAATAAAAAAATCGCTGAAAAAAAAAATCTTAAAAGCTCGTTATCTCGTTTAAAAGCCTTTTCGTTACAAAATCCTCCACGGAGAAAGGGGTTCATTGAAAATCGATTCATTTAAATAAAATCACTAAAATAAAAACACTTAAAAGTGGGAAATCCCAATTTGATTTAGCCACTTTAAACGGTTATTATAACCTTTTGACCTAAAGGGAATTTCCAATCCCTTAGTTTTGTTTTTTTTTTATTATATTAACAATAATAAGTTTTTTGAACCACCTGGGTTTTTCCAAAATTTTAAACATAAAAAACCAAAGTTCGTCTCAAAAACTACTTCAGTTTGCAAAAAGTAACCCTCAAGATAACATCAAAGAAAATGGATAAGAAAAAACGAATTTTAACACCCTCCGATAGATTGGTTTTTAATGAAAAATCAAAACACGCAGCCCGAAGTCGACGTGAAAAAGAAAATTTGAGTTACGCTGAACTTTCGAAGTTATTACCCCTACCGGAAACGATTTCCGATAAATTAGATAAAGCTTCAGTTGTGAAATTAACATCATCCTACTTAAAAGCGCGAGAAATTTTAATGGAAGGTCAGTAAATTAATAAATTTAATTTAAATCGAACTTTATTGATTATTTAATTTTAGATTACCGATACAAATCGAATCTCCACGATGAAGCACCCCTCCCATTTGATTTTATAAAAACCTTGGACGATTTCTTCATCTTATTAGATCAAAACGGAAAGATTGCTTACATTTCGGAGAATGTTATGAAGCATTTAGGCCTTCCCCAGCTCTCTTTAATGGGATCAAATGTTTACGATTACATTCATTTGGGCGATCACGACGAATTGATGAGGATATTATCGCAATTTATGCACTGTCAAAGCCCGTATAAGATAGAAAAATCGTTTTGTTTACGAATGAGATGTGCTTTGGCGAAAAGAAGCGCCGGTTTAATGAATGGATTATTTAAGGTGATTCATTTTAATGGATATCTTAAGAACGATGTTAAAGGAAATCCATGTTTATTGGCGGTTGGAAAGTGTTTAACAACTTCACCATTAACGTCGGTTCATTTAAATTGGAATACTTTCAGTTTTCGAGTCGGATTGGATTTAAAAATAAGTTTTATCGACGACTGGTGAGTTAAATATAATTATTAATAAGTAATGTGTAGTTAATTGATTAATTAATTTAATAGGATCCAAATGATGGGATATAAACCACTTGAATTGGTGGATAAAAGTTTGTATGATTACGTCCACGCCCAAGATGTTAAATTTTTAAGGCTATCTCATCAACAAAGTAAGTTGAAGACGATAAACACCCAAAAAATTATTATTAATCATCTTTTCATTTTAGGTTTAGTAAAGGGGCAATCGATAACTAAATATTACCGATTTCTTTGTAAATTTGGAGGCTATATTTGGCTACAATCAGAATTGGTTGTTATTTATAAATTAAAAGTGAAACCACACTCAATTATAGCTTTAAATCATGTTATAAGGTAAGTTATAAATTTTTTTTTAATTAAATACCCTACATATCATACAGCATCTTAAAATAGAAGCTTTAATCTTCAATTTGAAATATAAATCGTTTTCTAACTCTTAAAAATGTGGACGTGGTGATTTTCTTACTTTTTTGACAGTTTCAAACTTAACCTAATTTAAGCAACATTTCTTCAAACGCCTTTATCTAAAAAATTTTTAATCAAACACCCTACATATCATACACCATCTTAAGATAGAAGCTTTAATCTTCAATTTGAGACATAAATCGTTTTCTAACACTTAAAAATGTGGACGTGGTGATTTTTTGAAATTCTTACTTTTTTGACAATTTCAAACTTAACCTAAATCAAACAACATTTCTTCAAACGCCTTTTTCTAAAAAAATTTTTAATCAAACACCCTACATATCATACACCATTTTAAAATACAAGCTTTAATCTTCAATTTGAGACATAAATCGTTTTTTAACTCTTAAAAATGTGGACGTGGTGATTTTTTGAATTTCTTACTTTTTTGACAATTTCAAACTTAACCTAAATCAAACAACATTTCTTCAAACACCTTTTTCTAAAAAAAAACTTAATCAAACACTCTACATATCATACACCATCTTAAAATAGAAGCTTTAATCTTCAATTTGAAACATAAACCATCTTCTAACTCTTAAAAATGTGGACGTGGTGATTTTTTGAAATTCTTACTTTTTTGACAATTTCAAACTTACCCTAATTTAAACAATATTTCTTCAAACGCCTTTTTCTAAAAAAAAATTTAATCTAACACCCTACATACGATACACCATCTTAAAATAGAAGCTTTAATCTTCAATTTGAGACATAAATCGTTTTCTAATTCTTAAAAATGTGGACGTGGTGATTTTTTGAAATTCTTACTTTTTTAACAATTTCAAACTTAACCTAAATCAAACAACATTTCTTCAAACACCATTTTCTAAAAAAAAAAATTAATCAAACACCCTACGTATCATACACCATCTTAAAATAGAATCTTTAATCTTTATTTAGAGACATAAATCGTTTTTTAACTCTTAAAAATGTGGACGTGGTGATTTTTTGAAATTCTTACTTTTTTAACATTTTCTAACTTAACCTAAATCAAACCACATTTCTTCAAACACCTTTTTCTAAAAAAAAATTTAATCTAACACCCTACATATCATACACTATCTTAAAATAGAAGCTTTAATCTTCAATTTGAGACATAAATCGTTTTCTAACTCTTAAAAATGTGGACGTGGGGATTTTTTGAAATTCTTACTTTTTTGACAATTTAAACTTAACCTAAATCAAACAACATTTCTTCAAACGCCTTTTTCTAAAAAAATTTTTAATCAAACATCCTACATATCATACACCATTTTAAAATACAAGCTTTAATCTTCAATTTGAGACATAAATCGTTTTTTAACTCTTAAAAATGTGGACGTGGTGATTTTTTGAAATTCTTACTTTTTTAACAATTTCAAACTTAACCTAAATCAAACAATATCTTTTCAAACGCCTTTTTCTAAAAAAAAAATTAATCAAACACCCTACATATCATACACCATCTTAAAATAGAACCTTTAATCTTCAATTTGAGATATAAACCGTTTTCTCACTCTTAAAAATGTGAACGTGGTGATTTTTTGAAATTCTTACTTTTTTGACATTTTCAATCTTAACCTAAATCAAACAACATTTCTTCAAACACCTTTTTCTAAAAAAAATTTTAATCTAACACCCTACATATCATACACCATCTTAAAATAGAGGCTTTTAAAAATGTGGACGTGGTGATTTTTTGAAATTCTTACATTTTTGACATTTTCAATTTTAACCTAAATCAAACAACATTTCTTCAAACGCCTTTTTCTAAAAAAAAATTTAATCTAACACCCTAAATATCATACACCATCTTAAAATAGAAGCTTTAATCTTCAATTTGAGACATAAATCGGTTTCTAACTCTTAAAAATGTGGACGTGGTGATTTTTTGAAATTATTACTAGTTCTAGTTTTAATTGTTATGTAGCTCTAAATTGTTGTATATTTTTATTGAGCTAGGTCTCTAGGTCTTTTCTCTGTTTGTTCTTATACTGGACCAAATATCCTTCTTACCATTCTTTATTCGATTCTTTTTTTAATTATTATTAATTTCTATTGATTTATTAATTTTTTTTTAGTGGCATTGAAGAAGGAAATTTAATATTAAGTAATAACCAAAAGAATTATCACCCCGAACCAAGTTTACCCAACAATCTAAATAATAAACACGAAGACTGTATGTTACCAACAACCCTTTCGTATCTAATAGAAAACCACGAAATCAACACTTATTCTACTACAACAGAAACCCATCCAGGAGTTTACGAAGACATCACAAAAGTTGAAGTTTGGAACGAGGTTTTTCATAGTTTGCATAGCGTCCAAGAAAGTATGGATCAATAAAGATAATTGTTTAATGTACATATTGTAAATATAAAGTTGTAAAATAAACGTTTTTGTTACAAATTTAAATTTTTTTTAAATTAAATCGCCATCTGTTGAGCATTTACTAAATTAATCGAAAAGTAGAAATCTGTAACAGTTCTTGCGCGATTCTAAATCGATAAATTCTGGGGGTGCTTCTCAAAAAACGAGATAAATTGGGGTGAATAATGTGCCAAAAATTGTATAAAAACTTCTCAATAACGCAACAATAATTGCTATAAACATGGAAAACGGAAGGAGGATGTCTTACGATACATTAATAACCGATCAAATTTTACCCATACCGATTCAAATCTTTTTATGGAAACAAATTAGGTAAAAATAATAATATTATTATAAAATATTATTTTATTAATGTTTATTATCATTTTAGCCCCTTTATAAAACCAAAATTGGGTAAAGTTCATGAAGCATCATGTTCGGTAATTATTAATAATTAATAAATTAATTTATTAATAACTTTTTATGATTTTTAGTTTTGCCAACATGCTTCTTTCGGTCATCACGAGCTTAAAGAATCATGTAAAGTCTTTGAAAAAGTTCTAGTTCAAAACATTCTGTTTGGTTTAAAACCGGATTTAACCGAATCAATAAAATCAATTCCACGATGGAAATTAGTTCAAGCATCTTTACCACATGTTATGCATTGTTCAGCTTCACTTTTATATAATAGGTAATGTAATAAGTTAATACATGAACTTTGATTTTGCAATTAAAGATACTTAATTTGACATTTCTCAACATAACCTCACTTTATTATAAAAATAAATTAATTTCTTCCATAGAATGAAAGATGGTAACATGCAAGCTTTAGGAGCCGTTGAAACCAAGCTTTTGTACACTCTTCATTGGATAATTTTGGACGCGGCTGAAGAATGCGCAGAAGAAGACTTCGAAAAAGGCATTTACCATTCTTCCCCGTTTTATTATTTATTTTCAATACCAACGATAACTCTTTTCGTTTATTTATTCGCCCCGTTGTGCCAAAACTTCAAAGAATCCGATTTTCAAAATTCAAGAGTTGAGAATGGCTTGAAAATATGGCAACCGATGTGGGAATTTAAACATCCGGAGAGCTCCTGCTTCACGACACATTGTAAACCGAAACCGAAATATTTCGGAGGACGATATTTTAAAGGAAAAGGACCTTTTGGTGATGTATTTTTTGGGAGTAAGTTAAAAATTGATTTAATTTTTTTGTTGGGGAATTTTATTTTTATAAGTTGCACAAGTTTAGGGATAAATTGAATTTGACAGGTTAATAAGATAAACATAACCTCACTTTTTTAGGTTATAAATTATTATTTCTAGAATGAAAATAACGATTGAAATGATTAAACCCATGCTTAACAAATAAAAAGCACCGATTATTTTAATGATTTGTATTGGATGATGATGATTTTTTATGTTAATTGTAAAGAAATTCATTAAAAATGTTCCACCATATAAAATTTTAACTTGAGAATACCAAAATTTAATAATCCCACGTTCAGTAAGTTCTAAAATTTTTTTATCAAAGATTATCTTAAACGGTTAATTCTTCTTAATGATAAAGACGTAATAATAAATTTCCACACAATCGTTTAATTTAATGGGGAATTTAATTTTTTATTTTTTTTAAGTTGCATAATTTTAGAGACAAATTTGACAGGTTAATAATAATAGTGTTGGAACGGATAGTGATTTTGCGAAAAGCCGAATATCCGGTTATCCGGCATATCTATCCGGCCATTATGGTTATAATTTCATTAGATACTCTATATTGTCACATTATTGCGATATTTGAATAAAAATGAAATTAATAAGAAAACTGATAAGATATGTCAATTTATTTGGATCCAAGATACAAAATGATCTTTTTTAATGCTGATTTAACTCACAAAGCAACTCTAAAAATTTAAATTAAAAATTGCAACATCGAAAATTTTATCAAATCTTCAAATGTTGTTTTCTCAAAAACTATAGGTTATTTTTGAAAACGGTTTTGTTCATTGGAAAGAGGACACTTTTATTAACACTTTGGGAAATTTTCATACTCATATTCCAAGAACTGGATTTTATATGAATTTTTAGAACTTAATCGGCGAAAATTGTCGATTATTTCAAACATTTATTTCTCAAGAACTAAAAGTGATTATTTAGAACGGCTTATTGCATTAAAAAGAGGGATACTTTAATTAATAATTGGTTATATTTCCACAAGGATCCTTCAAGAAATGAATTTTATNTTACGTTAATTGTAAAGAAATTCATTAAAAATCCTCCACCAAATAAAATTTTAACTTGAGAATACCAAAACTTAATAATCCCACGTTCAGTAAGTTCTATAATTTTCTTATCAAAGATTAACTTAAACGGTGAGTTCTTTTTGATGATAAAGACGTAATAATAAATTCCCACACAATCGTTAAATTTAATGGGGAATTTAATTTTTTATTTTTTTTAAGTTGCACAATTTTAGGGATAAATTTGAATTTGACAGGTTAATAAGATAAACATAACCTCACTTTTGTAGGTTGTAAACACGTTATAAATTATTATTTCGAGAATGAAAATAACGATTGAAATGATTAAACCCATGCTTAATAAATAAAAAGCACCGATTATTTTAATGAGTGGTGATGATTTTTTACTTTAATTGTAAAGAAATTCATTAAAAATCCTCCACCTATAAAATTTTAACTTGAGAATACCAAAACTTAATAATCCCACGTTCAGTAAGTTCTAAAATTTTTTTATCAAAGATTATCTTAAACAGTTAATTCTTCTTAATGATAAAGACGTAATGATAAATTTCCACACAATCGTTTAATTTAATGAGGAATTTAATTTTTAATTTTTTTTAAGTTGCATAATTTTAGAGACAAATTTGACAAGTTAATATTAATGGTGTTGGAACGGATACTGATTTTGCGAAAAGCCGTATATTCGGCATTCCTTTCGGCCGGATATCCGGTTATCCGGCATATCTATCCGGCCATTATGGTTATAATTTCATTAGATACTCTATATTGTCACATTATGAAATTAATAAGAAAGCTGATAAGATATGTCAACTTATTTGGATAAAAGATACAAAATGATCTTTTTTAATGCTGATTTAACTTACAAAGCAACTCTAAAAATTTAAATTATAAATTGCAACATCGAAAATTTTATCAAATCTTCAAATGTTGTTTTCTCAAGAACTATAGGTTATTTTTGAAAACGGTTTTGTTCATTGGAAAGAGGACACTTTTATTAACACTTTGGGAAATTTTCATACTCATATTCCAAGAACTGGATTTTATATGAATTTTTAGAACTTAATCGGCGAAAATTGTCGATTATTTCAAACATTTATTTCTCAAGAACTAAAAGTGATTATTTAGAACGGCTTATTGCATTAAAAAGAGGGATACTTTAATTAATAATTGGTTATATTTCCACAAGGATCCTTCAAGAAATGAATTTTATAGCGAATTTTGAAAATTATCGATGAAAATTGCAACATCGAAAATTTTATCAAAACTTCAAATGTTGTTTTCTCAAAAACTAAAAGTTATTTTTCAAAACGGGTTGGTTCATTGGAAAGACGACACTTTTATTAACACTTTGGGAAATTTTCATACTCATATTCCAAGAAATGGATTTTATACGAATTTTTAAAACTTAATCGGCGAAAATTGCAAAATTCGAAAAAATTGTCGATCATTTCAAAAATTTATTTCTCAAAAACTAAAAGTGATTTTTCAAAACGGCTTTTTGCATTAAAAAGAGGATACTTTAATTAATAATTGGTGATATTTCCACAAGGATCCTTCAAGAAATTAATTTTATAGCGAATTTTGAAAATTATCGATGAAAATTGCAACATCGAAAATTTTATCAAAACTTCAAATATTGTTTTCTCAAAAACTAAAAGTTATTTTTCAAAACGGGTTGGTTCATTGGAAAGAGGACACTTTTATTAACACTTTGGGAAATTTTCATACTCATATTCCAAGAACTGGATTTTATACGAATTTTTAAAACTTAATCGGCGAAAATTGCAAAATTCGAAAAAATTGTCGATCATTTCAAAAATTTATTTCTCAAGAACTAAAAGTGATTTTTCAAAACGGCTTTTTGCATTAAAAAGAGGATACTTTAATTAATAATTGGTGATATTTCCACAAGGATCCTTCAAGAAATTAATTTTATAGCGAATTTTGAAAATTATCGATGAAAATTGCAACATCGAAAATTTTATCAAAACTTCAAATATTGTTTTCTCAAAAACTAAAAGTTATTTTTCAAAACGGGTTGGTTCATTGGAAAGAGGACACTTTTATTAACACTTTGGGAAATTTTCATACTCATATTCCAAGAAATGGATTTTATACGAATTTTTAAAACTTAATCGGCGAAAATTGCAAAATTCGAAAAAATTGTCGATCATTTCAAAAATTTATTTCTCAAGAACTAAAAGTGATTTTTCAAAACGGCTTTTTGCATTAAAAAGAGGATACTTTAATTAATAATTGGTGATATTTCCACAAGGATCCTTCAAGAAATTAATTTTATAGCGAATTTTGAAAATTATCGATGAAAATTGCAACATCGAAAATTTTATCAAAACTTCAAATATTGTTGTATTATTCATACCCTTAATTTCAAAATTTGTGCTAAGATAATCCATAAGTTTAATCCTTTCTTGATTTTTACAGCATATTAGAACAATTATAACATAAATATATCCTTAATATATCCTTAAGTTTTAAAAGCCATTGTGTCTACCTGACTGTTTTAACTCGTATAACGATTTTTTCAAAGAGCATACCTTATCCCTACTTTTAATTTCCTTTTCATTTTTATAGCTTCTTGCTTTATTTTCGTATCTGAACTATTTTCGAAGAGATAATTTAAACCCTTTTCAAAATAGTCTGGTAAATTCATAAATATCTGTTCATCCAAAGTTCCGTTTAAATATGTTGTGGTTAAATTTCTGAAGCCATTGGTTCATGAAATTGCATATCCTCTTCTTCTACTTCTGTAGCATCTTTAATCATTATTTCTGCAGAAAAGCAATATTCTAAATATGTTAGATTAGATTCATCCTCATTATTAATTTCCGTAGATTTTTTATGATAAAATTAAAATTTTGGGGCGACCACGACTTCTATTTTATCTTGATTTTCCAATTGTTCTAAATTTCTTTCTTTTTCTATATCTTTTTCGAGTTCAGTAAGTTCTTCAGATTCTTCTCTTTCGTCATTATCTATGTTTTGATGATCATTATTATCTTTGGAATTAACAATCTATATGTCATCAAATTCATTGTCATTCATTTTCATATCTTTTTTATTAAAATCTATTTCATTTTGTCTACCATCATTTAAATGTTTTGTAAATTTTACATTTCTTACTATTGTTATTTTCTTTTCCTTTTCTAACCATACTTTATATCCTTCACAATATCTAATAAATATACATTTTTCACCTTTTTCTCGAAATTTGGATATTTGTGGATCCAATGCAAATTCTCGAAAATAATTAAATGAACGTATTTTCTTATAAAATAATTTAAATGGTGTTTTATTTTCTAAAATTTTAGTGGGACATCTGTTTCGAATATAATTTGCAGTATTTATAGCTTCTGCCCAAAAATATGTTGGTAGATTTGCTTGTAATAATAAACACCTCGACATTTCTATTAATGTTCTGTTTTTTCTTTGGGATATTCCATTTTGTTCTGGACAATAAGGGACAGTTAATCTTCTTTGTATTCCATTTCTTTTTAGAAATTAAATAAGCTCTATTACTTTCCTTTTCATCAGAACGTCTTGCTTCATATTCTTCGATTATCTTTATTTTTAAAGCTTCTGAAAGCTTTATAGTAACATTATTGCTAATAAATCTTCATTCATTATCACTTTTAAATCTAGGAATTTGTCGACTATATCAAAAAATGTATTGACGTGTTTTCTCATGTCATTCCCATCTTCTATTTTCTTCAATATCAATTGCTTTAGCAACGTTACCTTCCTTGCTGGCTCTTTTGACTGATAAATCTCCTTTAATTTTATCCAAACATCTTTCGCAGTTTCACAATGTTTGATTTGTTTTAATTCAGAAGGCGAGATTGATAAAATTATATCAGATTTCACCTTTTCATCTTGTTCTTTCCATTTAATTGGATCCATGGTTTTA